TCTAGCACTAGTTTCAGAAGTGTAACAAGGCACTCAGTTGGAGGATTTTTTTCACTACGAGTGTTCCATACCTCTTCACACGCTGCTTGAACACCCCTTGTACTCACTTACCATCCTGATTTTAAAAATGTGTCTTCCATTGTTCAGAAGCATTGGAAAATTATAGAAAATGATTCAAATCTTAAAAAAGTATTTTCCTCACCACCAGTCATGGCCTTCAGAAGACCTAAAAACATCCGTGACAAATTAGTGACATCTGTATTAGCAAAGCAGCCTACTCCATCTCCCGGTTGCTACAAACAATGTGGTCGAAGGAACTGCTTGTGTTGTAAAGCTGCCAATACAAGCAGTTCTTTCATCAGCTCCGTTACTAAACAAAATTATACCATCTACTCAAATTCCAACTGTAAAACGGAGAACTCAATTTATATATTAACATGTGACACATGTGGCATTCAGTATGTGGGAGAAACAATGGACAAATTTAATATTCGGCTCAATAACCATCGTTCATGGTACAAAACCAACAAAAACTGTCCTCTCACAAGACATCTTCGTTCAACGAAACATTCTTTTGATAATGTTACCTTCCAAATCATAGAAGTCAACACCGAGTGGGACACCACGGCGAGAAGGAGAAGAGAAAATTTTTGGATCCACCAACTCCACACTTTAGAACCTGATGGTCTTAACGAAAAAGATGAGAAAAGATACAGGAAAGATAAAGAATAATTTAGTACACAGCATCGTCCTTTTTATCCTGTAATATTGGCCAATGGACGTTGCTAACTTCAAATACCAATTTTGTAAAAATCTTGAACTTCATCCAAATTATGTATTATTTTCTAGGCAGCTAAATTCAAGTGCAACATATACATTGAGCTGCAAAAGTTTCTTATCATCTACATCCGATTTCACCTGGATAGATGCACGCTTGATAAAGCTAGTTAGTCTAGCGAAATATTGCGTTTATTTTCATCATTTTGTAAATATTTTAAATATTCTTATATTTACATACTAAATAGTGTGTTAAAATTACATTGTTAGGCAATCTATAATTTTATTTGTGTAATTGAATTAATCTCTGTACTGATTATTCCACACTCCCATAGATTTGTATGTCATGTGCTGCTATTTATAGGCACTTATATTATTATCTTCAGTAGCACGCATTTCACAAATGTTTGTGTAATCCATTCAAATCTATCGCTATCTTTACAACATGGATAGCGCACAGCATTTCAAGAAATTAAGATCTTTAACTAAAAAGAAACTACAAACTGAACATCATTTATCAAACTTAAAAAAATATATTCAAAGTAGAACTGTACCAAAAGGTTTAAACATCAAAGTGAGTCCCCAGGCACCGGGACATAAATCCAAAAGATTCATGAGCCGTTGGAATGAAATTCTGTTTAACTGTTCAATCCAGCTACTTCAACTGTTACTTTCTTTTACAACCACAAATTACAAACAAATTGTAAATGAAATATCAGATATCATCAACAATAGTAACATTTCACGTGAATTTTAAACGTCGCCTCGCAGATATTGAAAACATTGAACTATCCAAACATAAAGAAAAACAAAGGAATAAATTTCAAAGAGATAGAATTCACACTGTCTATTTAAATCAGGATATGAATGATATCAATACAACAAACCATAAGGTCCCTAGAAAAAGAAAATTCAAAAGACGGAAACAAAAAACTGAAAGCATTGTTGTAAATTTGTCATCTAAAGAACTTACACGTGCTGAAGAATCTCTTTTAAGTAAAGGTTTAAACTTCTGTCCTATCCCATCAAATGTAAATAACTTTCAGCTAGACGAGGACTTAGACCAATTCGCTAGACGTTTACGCTTGAAAGATTTTTTCTACAATAGGGGCAAGAAAAACCTTGAAGAAGCTGGATTAACAGATTCAGATACTGACACCAATGAAGAAGTCACGCCCATCCCAAAATTTAAGAAAAAAAGTTCATGGAAACCACCTAAGAGTAAAAATGATAACTTGGAGTCATTCATTAACTACGTGAGGTCTGATATAAAGTCCTGTATAACAAATACAAGAAATTATAATTTATCCAAGTCAGAAAGCATTGCTTTGAAAGCGTTAAAAGATCAAGAGGATATCGTAATAAAACCTGCCGACAAAGGGGGCGCTGTGGTTGTCATGAATAAAACAGATTACATAGCAGAGGGGAATCGCCAACTTTCAAACTCCATTTTTTATAGACAATTAACCACAGATCCAACACTAAATAATATTCGAAGGATCAACACCATCCTTCAAGAGATGTTCGACAAAAAGCATATAGACAATGACACCTTTGATTATCTCCGACCTCTTGAGAACGAAGCAAAGGCCGGAATATTCTATATGTTGCCTAAAATACATAAAACGGGCAATCCAGGTCGACCAATTGTTTCAGCAAATAGTCATCCAACTGAAAAGATATCAGAATTTTTAGACCATCATCTAAGACCTCATGTGAAAGAACTACCCTCTTACATCCAAGATACGACTGATTATCTAAAGAAAATGGAAAGCCTCAATCCTCTACCAAGCAATACTATACTTGCATCCATGGACGTGTCTTCTTTATATACCAACATTCCACAAGACGAAGGAATAGCAGCGTGTGAAGAGGTATGGAACACTCGTAGTGAAAAAAATCCTCCAACTGAGTGCCTTGTTACACTTCTGAAACTAGTGCTAGAGAACAACAACTTCTCTTTCAATGAAAAACATTATCTCCAGATAGACGGTACTAGTATGGGCACAAAAATGGCCCCGTCATATGCCAACATATTTATGGGCCAACTTGAAAAACGCCTCTTGGCTAGTGCTCCATACCAGCCCTTATCATGGTTCCGATTCATTGACGATATTGATTTCAAATGGACAGATTCACAAGAACATCTTAATGAATTTCTAGGACACTGTAACTCTTTCCACCATTCAATAAAATTTACATATGAATCATCTATGGAGAAAATAAACTTCCTCGACACTACGAGTTACATCAAGAACGGAACCATTATAACGGACCTTCATACCAAACAAACGGACAAACATCAATTCCTTTCTCCTAAAAGTTGCTATCCTAAACACTGCTCCCGTGGCATCCCATTCAGCCAGGCATTGCGAATCAAGAGAATATGCTCTACTGAAAATACGCAAAATGCTAGACTTGGACAACTACGTAAACATCTAGTTGTTCGAGGATACAATAACAACATCATTGATAGCGCTTTCGAAAGAGCAAACAAAACTAGTCGCCAAGAACTTCTAGAGTACAAAGATAAGAATAAAGCAGCTAACAGAACACCCCTTGTACTCACTTACCATCCTGATTTTAAAAATGTGTCTTCCATTGTTCAGAAGCATTGGAAAATTATAGAAAATGATTCAAATCTTAAAAAAGTATTTTCCTCACCACCAGTCATGGCCTTCAGAAGACCTAAAAACATCCGTGACAAATTAGTGACATCTGTATTAGCAAAGCAGCCTACTCCATCTCCCGGTTGCTACAAACAATGTGGTCGAAGGAACTGCTTGTGTTGTAAAGCTGCCAATACAAGCAGTTCTTTCATCAGCTCCGTTACTAAACAAAATTATACCATCTACTCAAATTCCAACTGTAAAACGGAGAACTCAATTTATATATTAACATGTGACACATGTGGCATTCAGTATGTGGGAGAAACAATGGACAAATTTAATATTCGGCTCAATAACCATCGTTCATGGTACAAAACCAACAAAAACTGTCCTCTCACAAGACATCTTCGTTCAACGAAACATTCTTTTGATAATGTTACCTTCCAAATCATAGAAGTCAACACCGAGTGGGACACCACGGCGAGAAGGAGAAGAGAAAATTTTTGGATCCACCAACTCCACACTTTAGAACCTGATGGTCTTAACGAAAAAGATGAGAAAAGATACAGGAAAGATAAAGAATAATTTAGTACACAGCATCGTCCTTTTTATCCTGTAATATTGGCCAATGGACGTTGCTAACTTCAACTACCAATTTTGTAAAAATCTTGAACTTCATCCAAATTATGTATTATTTTCTAGGCAGCTAAATTCAAGTGCAACATATACATTGAGCTGCAAAAGTTTCTTATCATCTACATCCGATTTCACCTGGATAGATGCACGCTTGATAAAGCTAGTTAGTCTAGCGAAATATTGCGTTTATTTTCATCATTTTGTAAATATTTTAAACATTCTTATATTTACATACTAAATAGTGTGTTAAAGTTACATTGTTAGGCAATCTATATATATATATATATATATATATACAAAAAAAAGTTTCTTTTCAAGCGGTGTACAGAATTATATATTAAAAATTTAATACACAAAAATTAAAGAGTTTTAAAACTCTTTTTGTGTATTTAATTTTTAATATATATATATATATATAAATATATATCTAGTTATTTGTAGGTTGGCAGAGGTAACCAAAAAATAATCTATGCAAAAAATGAGTTATCTATGATACTATCTAGTTGAACAACATATTTCGTTGAATCTATCTAGTTGAACAATATATGTCTTTGAATCTATCTGTGTGTAAATATTTAAATTTGGGTTTAATAATAATAAAGCTGTGGTCAATACTGCCAACAAAATCATCTCGAATAACTGCAATAGTAAACATATTACGGATGATCAGTCGGAATGTTACTATTGGAAAATTAGAATTTGCCAACTCGAAAAATTCGAAAGGTTATCGAGAATCAAATTACTACAATAAACCTTTAGAATTATAGTGAGTAATGTTCAAAACTTAAACTACACAGCGTTTGTACCTAGAATGGATAAAGCAATAGAATGTTCCCATCTTGTAGATTCTGAAATGGAATGCCTTTCGGTGCTCGTTAAAAATCGACAGTTAGACAGCATGCTCTAACAAGTAATCCACTAGACTATTTAAGAATTCGGTTTGCCTCTTTTACTGTAGTTTTTAAATGCTTTTTTTACCTTAGGAGTAGATGTATCACCAGAAATACGACCCTTCCAAATCTGATCCATCGTTGTTTGACATGCAACATGTCCCATAAATTTCTGCAGTACGAACTTTTCAGTAATTCCAAAAATTGTAGTCGAATTATATCTTTTCACGTTCGTCACCAATAGTTTGCGTGCGTACTGTTTATTCATGCAATATAATTCTGTCATAACATTGTATGCAAGGTCTTCATAACTTCTGGGAGGAAAAAGATACAACTTTAAAACGTAATAATTGAGTTATTGTATTAGTCGTGTACATGAGAATAAACACGTATCACATTTAAACGTACGTACATTGTGGCATAATTAACGGTTTAATCTCGCCTAAAATTCGAATTATTTTAATAAACATATAATCATATTATCTACCTTATATCGGGTTTTTTTCGCGTCTGCTTTTTTTTTTGCGATTTCATGACAAAATGGGCATGTTAAATTTTCACTGTGTATAATTTTCGCTGAATGAGAAAACACACGCGAAAATATAACTGCATCGCATTGTTATAGATGAAAGTAACACAACATTGATTGACTGACAGGTAATCGATAACAGATATATACGGGTAACCCAAACGAAAGTACACAGAACTTTTAAGGAACGTAAATTAATTATATGTACACTGGGGCATGCTAAAAATTGAAGGTTTTGATCAATACAAATATCCTTGTAAAAGTGATTATTTTTATTATAGTTTTACATTAAATGCCTATTGTTTGGATTATGACACATATCAATACAATAGCTCGTCACTAATAAGCATCTGATTGTTGTGTTGTCAAAAGGTGTGACAGGCATGTTTAGCTGATTTAATTATTGTGAAAACAGATATTTTAATTAAGTTTGCTCATTCGTGTGATCTGTTGAAACAAACAAAAGACTATAATCAACAGTATGCATTATATATATATAATATATAAAACTGTCAAATTTTGATAAATCCGGTAATATGTAGGAAAATTTACTCGGGGTAAAATTTTCGCGTTTCTTTAGCTACCGCGAACAAAGCGAAAATTAAACACACGCGAAAAAACCCAATATACGGTATATAAATTGTGACCATACTCTTAATCACCAGGATTTTCTTTCTTTTTAAATGTTTTTTTTCTTACAGATATTAGCTTTACAATTTCATATTCAAACCAAAATGTTTTTTTTTTCAATATTCAGTAGGTTCGCGTCGGCTTCTAAATTATTACGTTTTCTGTTTTAAGCTGTAAGGCGATACCACTGCTGGTGGTCCGTTGGTTCCCTAGAGGAATATCAGCCGAAAAGATCGGGTTCTTACATGAATTATTATATTCTATTCTTAAATATTCCGTTTGTTAAAAAATATATTAACTTGAGAAAAAAAGGCAGAATTTACCCTAGCTAAACTTGGCTCTTCTTTTTAGCTGCCTTTTGGTCATATAGATAATATGACTTGCCCTAAACACAACATAGAAGTATAGCGTCACGATATGATTTTCAGTATGTAGTACGTTTTATACTGTTTGATTCTAGCGCTACTGATAATTTCTATGTCTGGCATACAAATTCTATTCAAAGTATCTCTAATGAGGTTGTTTAGGATTATCCAAATTTTATTAATCTTTGAACGATGCTAAGGCACTACCATCTTTTTTTTTTTTGGGATGGAAACACTGCTTTGTTCTCGCAAAAAATAATTTTACTAAAATTTTAACTTCAACTAAAAACATGCTAGAACAAGACATTTTTAAACTTTACGTGATACTCATAGTATTATAAGACGTATTTAGAATATTTTTATTGTTAAATACCCGAACTTCTAGCTTACCTAGAGCTTTCCAATAAGGCAGCCTTTTCGTCCATTAATGCTTCTTCACCAGCTTTTACAGCAAGCATTTGAGCAAGTGAACTTGCATATAACGCAGACCCTAGATGCATTGATTAAAAAATACGTTTATGTAAAGTTTTTAATTTTCCTCGGAGTTCAGTATTTTTGCGATTTTACTTTTTACATGTACTTTGACAGCTTGAATACTTTTTTTAAAAAAGGCAGTCACAGAACGTTTCATAACAATTACAAATACATGTGTAGCTTTAATAAAGTTTAGGTAAACACACTTGTGGTAATAATTAGGAATTGTCTTAGTAAATAAACAACTATATAAATCTATTTTGTGTTGTCGTATTTAAAATTATTAAATGTAAGATAAAACCCTATATACATGTGTAGGCATTCCATGGAATTTTTAATGTTAAAGCCAAATAATTGCTTTTTATAGGAAATCAGTACACACATTCATTTTAATCCAAATGTCCGTATATAAGCTAAAATTAGGAATAAAATTGCTTTTCATTCCGTACACAAACAACTAAACAGCGGTTCTCTGTTCATAGACAGACCCAGTGGATTACATCAACAACTATGAAATTAACGTTAAATATGACAACTTAATATTGTTTTGATTTTATTTATCCTGCAATTCATAACATAGTTACGAAAAGCTATTAACCATGTTAAATATTCGCGTTCATTATCCATTTACAATTATTAAAGATTGATTCATATCCATTGTAAGACAATTTAATACTTACATATATAATCGCAGTCTTCCTTTTTCCAAAACAGTATGGCCAAGTCTACTCGGTTCATAAACACTGCCCAGATAAACAGGTGCTTGAAAATATCTTCTATTCTTATTACGTCTATCTTAATATCATCCGCATCACCTGCAAAAGTTTTGTCCTCAACATGTTGTTTTAGAGGGAGAATTTCATAGCAAGTATTATGTTAAGAATATCAATTAAAAAGTATAACATTTGCTAAAATAAGGGAATTTGTTGGACAGTTAGTCATTATGAAGAAATTATCTACATCGCATACTCCATATTTGTTGTCAACTCCATCTTACCGGTAACTACGAAAATATTAAAGAATCAATATGACATTTAACTTGTTATATCAGAAGCCCGGTTCAACGCGTAACGAATTGGTTTAAAACAAAAACTATTTTATTATCACGTTTCAGGTTTTGTCAAACGGATAGCTTCTTGGATACTATTGCACTTTATCAGTAAATTAAGCATTCAACAAGAAAATGAACTAACACAAGGGTAGATATCAGAAATTTTAAACCATTTAATTGATATAGGACCAACACAGTACATGAAATTAAAACATGAGCACTGTATTTCGTTTACATATTTTGAAAGGATAGAAAATGTCGTCACTTAAAAGTAAAAGGAAGAAAAAGAGAAATATTTTCTTTTACGCAAAAATTCTAGTCTGAAATCAAAATTTCTTACGGATGATTAAGCCCTTTCGTCCGCTTTTTGGGGTTTCAATCAAATATGTATGTAAACAAAACATAATAATTATATTGATATGTATATAACAGTTTAATTCTTGATTATAATTTGTCTGAGAAAACAAATGTATCCGCTGGGTTCAGTATTGAAAACGTTTAGATCCAGGCCACTTGAGGACAATTTGATTTTTTATATGAATAATTCATTTGCACGTTATATATTGTCCACCAACTTTTACTTATCAATTTTTATTATCAACATCATTCTATATCAATCATTGATGTCTATTTATTTCTAAAAATTTAAGAAAGTTTATGCGAAAAGATTGAACGTACTTAAATATAATCAGAAACTATAATTTTAATTTTCTCGGTTTTGAAACTATTAATCTAGAGAAAGTACGTTAAACACTAGACCAATTTTGTAAATATGGTATTTGTCAATGAAACTATCTAGGTTTGTAATGATGTTTCAGTTCTATTATTTAATATAGACTCTAAATGGCAAATTTAGATATTGTTTTCTCGTGTATTTGACATTTGAAAAACATTTGAACAGTAATAATGGATATTTCTTTTAGTTTTTAGGAATGTTTTAATTCAACATGTTCAGATTAAAATTGTTATGGATATTTGAATGGTAGATATATCGCATTAAGTCTCTTGTTACAAGAATGCAAAATATCTATGCATGTCAATTTGTTTGTAAGTTACAAACTTGGCAAGTTCAATAAAGAAAAGATAAAATCGTTAACGAAATTATTTTTCCAAACTTTGCTCTAAAAAGTCCATTTTACCTTTATTCTGAATATGAACTTACAATAAAAAGAGCAAAGACTATATACAAATATGTTACATTTTCACTTAAATATATGGTTTTGTGTGAAGGTTAATAAGAAAACAAAATTGATGCACATTGAATTTATAATTAAAGTTAGTTTTTTGGGTTTTGGCATTATTAAATGCAAGTTATAAAATGGCCGCATTTTCTTGCCAAAAAATTCACAAATATTTCAATATTAAGAGCTTTTACTACACCGAATAAAACTGCGGAACACATCTATGATTGAAAAACAAAATAATATTTCAATCATAATATATGACAGTTTGTCAATGTTGCTATTCTAAAAACTTAATACTTGTTCGAGCGTGAACTCTTTTTTTAAAAAAGAAAATTGTCATAGAAATAAGTATAAAAAAAACGGATTTACTTATTTGTCGCAATGAACTGAACTTCCAGAAAATTCCATAGTGTTAAAATTCGATACTTTCATCCATAAATGCTGTATTACAATTGGCTTTTGTTATTTGGCAGGGTTGCTTAAAGTTTAATTATATATACTTGTAATACGAAAAGGCAAACCACAGATGGATGTGATCATGTTCAAACAATCACACGATATATTGTGCATTCAAAGGGACTGTACTAAATGGACCAAAACATTTAGAAAATGTAATTTATATTATCTACCTGATATTAATCTATCATATTTACCAATGCTGATGCATTCGTAATGTTGATGACAGCAGATTTAGACAAATGTGCACGATATGCAGACTGTGTATCAATCTTAACGCATCAGACATGCGTTTGTGTGTGATTTTTGCGTTTTTTCAACAGTTTTGAATTTAAGAAGGATAATAATGATAATGATTATTTATTTTGACTTTTCTTTAAATTTCCTTCTTTTATAACAAATATACTTAAAGTTAGACAACAGTTGTTGCATTAAAATTGCATTAAAAAAATTAAAAAGTTGACTTATTAAAAGTCCTCGAAATGGATAAAACGCGAAAAAGCTGACAAAAAGTCCTCAGATTCCTTTTTAATTAAGTAATAAACATAGTTCATATACTTTTATGAAATTTTAAAGAACATTTTACTCCTAACAACAACCATAATAGCCTTATTTATCGTATCAAAAATAAGCTAAAAGAACTCGCCAAGGAATTTGTTTTGTCCCGGCTGGTAAGGCTGCTTATAATATCATTATTATTTGACGTCAATTTTACATTGAGGTTCTGCTAAAGGAAATCACGAAATCACCAATATTCCAACTGACTCCATATTCGGAAAAGAACATCTGTAACAAACATAAACATTTACCTACCTCCTTACAAGCAAAACCAAATAAAATGAAAGTTAAAACTATGTGCTGGCTTCCGAAACTGCACAAAACACCTTACAAATATAGATTTATTTCGTCTTCATGCAATTGTCTCACTATTTAACTGTATAATCTACTTACAAGTACACTTGGTACAATCAAAAACCTAGTAATAAATTGATCAAATAAGGCCTTTGAAAATAGTGGAATTAATTACTTTTGGAGTGTCAAAAATTCTTTTTACTTGATAAATTGCATGCTTATATTGGTCATTTCGAATCTGTTAAAAGTTTTCATTTTTCTACCCAACATACCATTTTGTCTCATAATCTTATTAAGAAAATATTCACACACCTAATTAAATGGAGACTTAAAAAGTCAGAATGCGAACATATATGTTCAAACTCTTTTATGTCATTTTTTAGTAACCACATACAAAAGAACTATGTAGATTGGACCTGCTTTGATACTATGTTTGCTCTTGAATATTTACTAGATAACATTTTTGGTTGCTATGGCGATTCCGTATATCGTCAAGTCATCGGAATTCCAATGGGGACTAACTGTGCATCACTTATTGCGGACCTTTTCTGTAGTTATGAGTTACAATTTATGACTCAAATCAGCAAAGACCCATCGAAAAAACATCTGATACAAAAATTTAATAACACTTTTAGATATTCGAATGCTATATTGGGTCTCAATAATGACAACTTCAATATGTACACTAACGAGATTTATCCTGCCGAACTGACTTTAAATAAAGCTATTACGAACAATGAACCATGCCCGTTCCTGGATTTTGATATCTATATCTTTAACGGGAAGCTTCATACCAATATTTATGATAAAAGAGATAATTTTTCATTTCCCATTGTTAATTATTCATTTTTAGATGATGACGTTCCCTTGTCACCATCATCTTGTGTTTATATATCTCAAATTTTTCGATTCGATCGTGTATGTTAAAACGTAATTGATTTTAACGAAAAAATTCTCTTTATTACTGACAATTTATTACACCAGGGTTTTCGATATTACCAACTAGTCAAAACATTTACTAAATTTTATCATTGGTACAAGGACATCATTCGTAGATATGAATCAACATGTAAACATCTTATACGTTCAGGTATTTCATATCCAATCTTTTATGGTAATATTCTTTACAAAGCACAAAGATGTCGGCATTCACCTTTAAACAGACTTATGCAGAAAGAATATAGTTACGATACTGTTGCCAGGTCATTGAATATGGCGTATTTTGGTATTAATATTGATTCTCTCATAGAGTCTTGGCATCGGAAATAAACACATTTATTCTAAAACCAGTTGTTGGCAATATGGGTTATGTTCTTCTCATATATTTCATGATGGTATGATACTAAACCCCTAACGGGAGGTGCTTGATATTCATATCATGAAAAAATAATCTTTCAATCAGTTTAATTGAGGTCTGGAGCTGCCATGTCAGTTACTGCTAGTAGTCTTTTGTTAATTTATTTATCATTGTCATTTTGTTTAGTTTCTTTTTTTACCTATTCTGACAGCGGACTCGGACTTCTTAAAAACTGAGTTTTACTGTGCGTATTGCTGTGTGTTTGTTTTTTACATTGACTAGAGGTATAGGGGAGGGTTGAGTTCTAACAAAACATGCTTAACCCCGCCGCATTTTTGCGCCTGTCCCAAGTCAGGACCCTCTGGTCTTTGTAAATCTTGTATGTTTTGTAGTTTTAGTCCATTTATATGATTTGGAGTTTAGTATGACGTCCATTGTCACTGAACTAGTACACATTTTTATTTAGGGGCAATCTGAAGCTGTCTTTTTGACATATTCCCCATTTCCATTCTCAATTTTACTGTATAAACGCTTCTTAAATAAAATAATTTACGAAGTGAATTATCATGCAAAAATGCGTAAAAAATGCATATTAAAATTGTCGGGAAATGATTTTTATATTGCGCAAATATTTGTTCTTAGATTTCAATAAACAAGATACCTATATGTACATGATGTATAAAACTCTCTTCATAAAAATGAATTTTTAAGAAATGACTACGCCCTCTTTAAGAGACCATTGTATTGAAGAATTGTCAAAAAATCTAAATGGTTTTAGCAAACACTGCTTCAAAATAACATAGCGTAGTAGGGTATAAATCAAAACGTGGGGACGAAAGTAAATTATGCAGTTTTAACTACTTCATTTCAAGTCACATTATGAAGACTTACTAAGCATTTCACATCCTAGCATTGATTTATAAAGGGGATATCGTTCTTATGAATGATGTGGTATGATTGCCAATATGACAACTCTCCAGAGCAGAGACCAAATAACACAGAAGTTAAGCTATATACATGATACATTATTCATTGTGTATAAACGTACTGTCTCATTTAGAATAAAACGAAAAGTTGGCGTTCAGTATTCAATCATATTGCTCTAGGACAAATATGGCCTAAATTATCGACGTAATCTAAGACAAAAAATGTGTTAGACAGTTTTTAAATAATTTTTCAAGCATTGATATGTGATAAAGGGGTACGTGCAAGAATATTTTTGAATACATTCCCTAGTGCAATACATATAAATTCTACTGGTATCAATTATCCACCAATATGTTTAGAAAATTATATTATTACCTTTAGCAATATATATTTATCACGACACAAATGAAATAGATTTTTTTAATCATGAATCTTTGGAAGGTCGGGTCAATTTAAATAGTAACTCATTGTTATGAATTACAGATAGCTAATATAATAGTTGAAATTATAATTTTTATTTGCCCTGTCCAAACTATACATTTCAAGAAAAGCTTCTGGCTTGTTTTAAGGAATAAATTGAAATCTATCGTACTCAAAAAGTGAAAAGAAATATAAATGACAGCGTTCTCTTTATATTACAACATTACCTTCGTCAAAAATATGCATGTTAAGCCTTCCGGTTATCTTTTTCACAACAACATCTACCTTTTCCACAATGTTTTTTTGTCTGGATTTTTTTTTCTTAAATATAATTAGAAAATTTCCTTAACTTGAGCATATCTCATATATCGACAAGATAAATAAAAGTAACAGTGCATTTTATTATTGCTACACTATCATCGATTGTTATACATTTTCTGGTTTTATATGAAAAAAACATATTTCTTGTGTTTATTGTATTATCAATAATCTGTTAGAAGTTTTTTTTTTTCATCGTGTTGGTTTCTCATACCTTTTATACTAACATGAGCAACACGACGGGTGCCACATGTAGAGCAGGATCTGCTTACCCTTCCGGAGCACCTGAGACCACCCATAGTTTTTGGTAGGGTTGGTGTGGCTCAGTCTTTAGTTTTCTATGTTATGTTTTGTATACTATTGTTTGTCTTTTTTTTTTTTTAAATATTAACAAAAGGAAACATAAAATTTGATTTAATTATGCAATATATTTACTTAGTTGTATTCATATAAAGCACAATGCATACAACCTTCTCAAAAACAAAAACAAAGAATACCTTGGAAAGTTTTTGGTTTATCGTTTAGATAACCAAACTTGTAGTTTGTAATATATATTCAACTGGATTGGAAATTATGAATACTATAAAACCTAGATGTTTTGCACGATATCTGGATAATTTTGTTCTGTATAGACACAGAAACACGTACCCAAAATATGAACTAAAGAAAAGCAGTAACAAACCCTCTTCCCAACGTAAAGTGTTAACATATTTGATGCGTTATGGACTTAAATGTTCATATTTCATATATACGGAGATGTCTGGTCCTGACGCAAAAAATGCCCTCATCAGGTTGGCCGATGGATGCATTGTGTATGTGTCCCAACTCACTAGAGACATGTAGTCTTAGATTTATAGATATGAGAGAAATCAGATCTGTCTTCTGACCAATTGTGTCTCATTGAATTATGTGAGTCAATAACACGAAGGGTTTTGAAAATACGAGTTTCTACTTCTACTTTTACGTTTATCCAATTGATATTCCTCGGCAGAATTCACTTGTAGTTTAAAAGTGTGTACTAATCCTGTTCATAGTTTAACAATGAAGGCATTATGGTCCTTACGACAAATATTTTTCATAAAAGTTTTGTTGACAATATAACGGTCTCTAAGCCGAATATAAATAAGAAGCAATCATGCACAGCGTTGCTGTTGACAATAAAGTTGTTGAACCAAGAATTGATAGTTGAGAAGTTGTAATTATTCCTTCGAAAATCTTACGGACACCATTATATTTTGGTTGATAGTAATGATACATAATGTATCTCCATGTCACGGATGACCACATATGTTTAATTTGTTGCTGCCACAGACCCGTACTCCTTTCCCCTATTGTGGCATCACCGAATCATCAAATTATACTTATCATGGAATTTGTATTTTCCTTGAGCATTACTAAGATGCCACATTTGGAGCAGAATATGAGTGTCCTTCCGAAGCGCTTGAGATCATCCCTTGTTTTCGGAGGAATTTGTGATGTTCAGTTTTCCGATTTCGTTGATTTGTTTATCATGTTTATTGTTTTGTAGAATGTTCATCGTTTTATGTTTAATTTTCAAGTATTGATGGATATTCTTCGACTTGTATAATTTGATGTTAACAAACTGATAATTAAAGTAGGAGTACAGCTATATTTCACTGAGTTATGTAAAAATCTCATAAAATAGATAATGGCATCAAAACATTTTCTGTCATAGGGAATGTATATAAGAGAACTTTTCTCAGATTGTATCAGATTATAATAAAACAAATTTTAAAATGGGATTTTGTAACAATGGTTTTACACATACTTTTATAAAATGGTTAGTCACAAAAGGGGAAGTGAACATTATTTCATTCGGATGTGACGTTATTTCAAAAGTTTTGTAAATAGTATATTGGCATTTATTGAAACATAATGAAATGTTAATGATGTAAGATAATGATTGCTTTTCAATAGCCTACTTTGGGTTCAGAGTGGCAAATATTCAGCACATATATATCGAGAAATGCTATGACTTTCTGTCTTATTATATTTTGTCATAGCAACTACAGAGCGTCCCTTTTTTCCAGTATTATCCATGTAGTAATCCATTTTTGATTTCCAGACTTCTGGTTAAGAGCGTCAATTAGATAATACGAAACCCTTATCGATTGCAGCATGATATATTTTATGTCGAATTTAACCATGACAAAAGTTCTATTTTTAATGCAAATGTTGAGAGTTTTGTAGACAATCTGATTTAAATACAGTTCATGTGTCCATGACTCACGAACAAGGATCTGACAACTTCCATTTTCCTTTCTGATCTTATAATTATTTCATCCTCCAAATTTCATCAGGTGTATATCTACTCGACATACTAAGAGAATACCGAAAGCTCCTTAATGCAGAAAATAGCACAGAGCATGCGCATTGTCAGATCATTGTAAGAGAAACGTAGAAACATGATCTGTATTGTATTTAGATTGCTTTAAAGACACATTAAGAATAAAAACAAATATCAAATATCTGGTGAAGGTGTAATTTGTAGAACTTCAACATGTTCAATGTAATGAAATTTACCGTGATTTTCCGAAAAACATATCCTCCGAAGCTAGCGTCGTCCTGAAAGAAAAGTAATTACTGTTAGTGGATTTTTTTGTGAATATATTTCTAGATTCACAATTCTCGACAATTCTTAATAGACTTTAATAAATGCAACTTTTCTTCTTTTCATTCAAAATACTGAATGGTCGTCTTAGCATATCAGTATAAATTGTATAACATTCAAAATTTAATTTTTTCTTTTAAGAGTCGACTCCGGTGTCAGAAAATAGCTAATCTTACAATGGATAAAAAATATATAGTTTTTTTTACTTTAATAAAATACAAGAGATAAATAGCATATTTCGTTTCACTATAACTAACTTCCGATGACATACGGGTGATATGGTAGGTAACTTAGTATCAGTTGCAAAAATATAAGACTCCTTGGCTTTTTCCGTGAAATAAAGAAGATAATAAGATAATCGCGATTATAGTAAGTCATTTCCGATGTCATTGCATAAGTTACTTTCCATTAAATCGTAACGCTTGTCATTTGCACAAAACAACTACCTTAGCTTTGCACATTGTCACTTTTTCAAGGTCATGATCCCCGTCATTATGAAGCAGTTCCTATTGGTTGATCATGTACAAGTAAGAAGTAATAAATGATCAACATTTGACTTGTACAATTTAAGGGCAATGAAATTCTTTTAATTCTTATCTTTAATTTATTTGTCTCAATGTCCAAAACATATTGATAGTTTTTTTTCTTTGTATATCTGTTACATATTCAGAAGAGAAGCTTACAACATCGAGAATGTCAACTTTACCTTTGACGTTGAACTTAATCTCAAGGTTGCAAAGCAAAAAACTTAATTCTACCTAAATCTTTTTTATGTATATTTTTCTAATACTTTCAAATAACAGAAATAACTTCCTTTACTAAATACATTGTAGTTACGACATGTCGCAATTAACAATGTAATGCAAACTTTGTGTCCATATCCATTACGGTTGATGGATAGTAGTGAATCATTGTTAACAGAAAATGGAAACATTTAGAAAATGACCATGACTTTTATTTTGCAATACCCCTGTAGCAAATATGTTTCAAATGAATCAAAGAACACAGGGCGAAACGAAAAGAGTTGTTGCTTATCTTTATGCTTATATCCCAGTGAACTTGAAATTAAAGATACTACTGATACTAGAAAAACTGCTTCATACCTTGATCTTTTCCTCGATATTGACACAGATGGACGACTTCATAAAAACAATCTATGACAAACGGGACGATTTCAACTTCCCAGTTATCAATTTCCCACTTCTCAGCAGTAACATACCCTCTGGCCCATCGTATGGTGTTTACATATCTCAGTTGATACGTTATACTCGTGTATGTTCACACAATACGGACTTCACATACAGGAGTGTGCTTCTTACGCAGAGTTATGAGGAAAGATTAAAAATGACACTCCGTAAATTTTATCGACACCATCACAAATTGGTCGATCTATTCGATTTGTCTGTGTATAAACTAAATAACGACAGTTTTACCACGTCTAAGATTGTGGTCTGGTCTGCTAAGTACCGAACGTGACCTATTCCCGAATATGACTGTTTTGCCGTGTGTGAATTCGCATTGTTATTAGACGTTTCTCGATATTTATACATCCAACATACATAATTTAAATTTACCTGTGGCGTTGATACATTCGTGTGACACACAGTTCATAATTCTATTGTGATGTACTTGTGTACTGTCGTAAATTAATTGGAGGTGTCCGATAATATTTTGTGGTTAACATATTGATAATGTACTATAATTATATTATTTATTTATTATTTCTCTGTCCTGAGTGCTCTTGCGTTTATTTGTACTGTATTCCTGTCAAATAATGTTGTCATTGTAGCGGTAATTTTAACAAGGCCATATAAGCGGGAGGTTTGGCTAGCCATAAAACCAGGTTCAACCCACCAGTTTATCTTTAAAATGTACTGTACTAAGTCAGGAATTTGACAGTTGTCATCAATAGTCCGTTTATATGTATCTTGGTTTTTTTCTTGTGTAGCAGTTCAGTGTTTCTGTTGTTCCGTTGTTTTCCTCTCATAGTTGATGTGTTTCCCTCGGTTTTGCTTTGTGACCCGGATTTGTTTCAGCTAAATCGATTTATGACTATTGAACAGCGGTATACTACTGTTGATTTTATTTATGGAATATCCGACTGTTTGTTTCAAATGTACGTACGTCTCTCAAAACAATAAAAGCAACACTTTATACATTTCTTGCGTTCTACGTTCTTTTCTGGATTAACCTTCATCAGGAACGCCAAAAACCGAATATTTGAAGGCAAAGATTGTATGATAACCGAGACAGTTGAAACGCTGACTCATCAAAAGGGGACTAAGAGTTTGCCACCAATAACGTTTATATATATAACATATGAAATTTTCATACACAGCCTGGATTTGCTTTCTCTCAATCGATTTATAACTTTTGAACAGCGGTATACTACTGTTGCCTTTATTTGTCTATGTGGCATATTTATGGGAACAAAGTTGGATTCTACACAGAAATACACGCATGTATAATATATTAATGAATCGGAACAAACCTCATATAAGTCTTCAAGTGAGTGATCTAAGAATTTTCTATACTGTTTCTTGTCCAAAATATATTCTAGCACTTGCCTAACCAAATCAACCCTATTGAACCTCAAAGCATTAGTGAATAGGTTTGATAAACAGCTCTGTTTTTCGCCTAGTTTATCCTATAAAAAAGTATACCCTTTATTTCATGTGTTTGTTTAATGGATATAAGTTATATTGAGTGAGATAACCAAATATATATAATAATATAGCATACAGAAGAATTCAATGATGATAACTGTACATGCAATAGATAAAAGCACTTGTACACATGGCAGGAAATTCAGACACACTACCCTTTTGGTTCAAACCTGAAATGTCTATCTCAATCTTTAGTTTCTTGAGAAGTCTTATACGGACAATAATTTGTCATTTCATCCTATTATTTTGGCCGTGATATTTCATTTAATTGTGTTTTTATGTCGCTTTTACTATCAGAGAGTTAATAATATCAAGACTAAAAAAAATAAACCGCAGAAAAATCAATCGAACGTGTGCAATCTATTTTATAAAGCCTGTGTAAGTACATTGTATGGTAGGAAGATATCGATCAAAAGATCTAAGCGGTGTCAAGTTGATTGGAAGTTTCACACACGCACGTCTTTTTTACTAGCTTGTTATGTTTAGGAATATCTGCACATCGACAAAATACTTACGTTCACGTTGGTGTAGCTGCAGTCCAGTATACAATAAGGACAAGTTGCTATCCAGAGAGTATAGATAACGTATTTTTAAACACGACACGACAAAATGTAAAACAGTTCAAACGAGATAAAAAAAAATCACCGCATGATTAATGACAAAAGAGATACGAAAGATACCAAAGGGATATTCAACTCATTAGTCGAAAACCAAGTGACAATGATTGGGCAAAAAACGAAAAATTATCAAAAGAAAAACAAAAGTATACAAAAACAACATAGAAAACAATATACTGAGCTTTAAGCAGATCCATCTCCACATGTAACACCCATCGTGTTGCTTATGTAAGTACACACCGGGTGATTTGTCTAATTCTGTAAAGTCATATTCAAGGAAGAGAGGCCGGAATTGTGGTCAGGACAAAAGTTATAACTTACATAAACCAATTATAGCCACTGAGATTCAGGCTCCTGATTTGATACAGACACATACATAATATGGCGGGGTTAAACATGTTTGTGAGCGTTATACCCTATGCGTGTCCCGGTACAATTGTGTAACAGTACAACATCAGAACTAACTGTAACACTTATTTGGACTTATCAGATCATCACGAAGCACAGAAGGAATATAACAGATGAAATGTATACTAGTATTCAGAGTATGCATCTCGGGACAACAAGTATCATTTGTCAGGAATTAACAGACGTTTGTTGATGTGGTTCATAAGTGTTTCTCGTTTTTTTTATATAGATTAGACCGTTGGGTTTTCCTGTTTGAATGGTTTTACACTAGTAATTTTGGGCCTTTTATAGCTTGCTGTTCGGTGTGAGCCAAGGCTCCGTGTTGAAGACTGTACTTTGACCTATACTGGTTTACTTTAACAAATTGGGACTTGGATGGAGAGTCGTCTCATTGGCACTCATACCACATCTTCTTATATCTATATAATTCAGATTGTTACACACACCTGTAATTTCTCAAACACTCCGTTTTTTTCTAAATTGAATATTTCTCTCTCTGCAATGTCAGGTCTGTTCCATAAATCAACAAAGTAAAGCATGTTATCTGTGAGCTTTTCTTCGTTCTTGTTGTCTAAAAGTGTATAGTTTATTTGTTATTGAAATACGTTTTGCACATTTTGGGGATGAGTGTACAGGTTGAATATTTATAGCAGTTTGATACTGGAGGAAATATTTTTAGCCGATTAGCCTTTACTGTCTAAATAATTTCTTTTCAAATTTGGTCAACCATGTCTTTGTGTTCATGTCCATTTTCAGCGTTTAGTGTCAGGTACATGACAGCAAAAGTTAACAATTCGTACCGACTAAATTATAAATAGATGCTGCCCGAACAATAAGCATAAATGATTAATTCGTCAATCAGAATTGATATTCTACTGACTTGTGTCTTCTTAATCTGGTTACTTTGTGAAGAATGTTAGATTGTGTGATGATTATCATTCGCAAACAAAAACACTTACTTATGTATCACTTTATTGTTAACATAAGCATATCATCCTTAATTAAAAATTGCATATATTCTTAAACATATTATCAAGATTATTTATTCTAATATCGCTGCATAAAAAGAAGAAACATTTGCATCACCAAGAAGATCCGACACAACATTAAATTAATGTTCCAGTCGCTGTTCTAATACATTAAAAAAAATGGAAATTAAAAAAAAATAGTTTAGGACACTGATCTTTTAAACAGAAAACCGTTTTTGTATTAAGCATCATTGCGGCTATAATGATATATTCTGTCAAAATTTTTTTTCCGCTAGCTTAGAACTTTATGGGTTAATGTTTTCTATGTTGTAATCTTTAATTTATTTTAGCCTATTCATTCATTCCCTTATAATATTTTATTTACAGTCGCTATATTCGTTTTGGCAATCACACATAGAACATGCAGTTTACATATTACATTTGAGTTATTGTTTTATTTGACATTTGCTCAACTTGTTCCTGTATGTATATGAGACAGGTTTCATGATTAAATTCACGTTCCGCTATATAGATAATGTCCTGTCGCTAAATAATTTTAAAGTTTGGTGACCAAGTTAAACGCATCTATCCACTCGGTTTTAAAATAAATGATACAACAGATACAGTTAAATCTACCTCATATCTTGTTTCACTTCTAAATATAGAAAAGGAGGGTTAGTTGAGATCAAAGGTGATTTCGGGTCCCCATTTGTGATCTTCCCAATTATATGTAGCAGCAATTCAGCAGAGCCCGCATATGGAGTATATATATACATGTAGATGTGATATTTCAGAGCTATTTCCTATCATGATATCTTTGATAGCGGGTTGCTTCTCACAAGGAAGCTATTGTTAAAGTACTTAACTGAAATATTATAATAAATGAGAAACAGTCCTCATGAACTTATGCTTATTAAATAATCAAACCTGTGCAAAGTGACTGAAATAATATATCCTGAATTGTCCTGTCTAATGTGTACGTAGTTTCAGTTGCCAAGTACACGTGAATCTGAAATAATGAATTATATTTTGAATGCTGAATTGCAGTTATATTAAAGAAAAAAAAACAATGGCTTTTATAATAACATAAAAAAGCTACATTGTTTCTACTTGTTTTTTTTTTTTGGCGAAGCAATTCCAATATAACGTATAGCCTTTTCGTTTTTCAAGTAACAAGGAAGCAGAAACATAAACATATGGATAACAAAGCGAATGTTAAAATGTAATTTTAAGTAAAACAATTGCTAATTAGTCTTATTCAATTAGAGAGTAAAAAAATAACCAAGATACTAGGCTTATTATTTTATAAATAATTGCTTACTAACAATATCTATTGAAATGATGTTCTACATTGTAATAGATATAGACATAGTGTATACAAGCTTGTTAAAAATTAAGGCGCATTTGTTTGATGTCATTTTAAATGTGGATATATTTTATGCAAATACAGTCATAATCGTTGTTTTAATTTTCAAGCCCTGAAACACATTGTTCAGATAGAAAATTATTCAGAAGCTTTTTATGCCCTTAATACCAAAATAAAGATTTGTTAAGAATTTCAAAAACAGCTCATACCTGACACTTAAAAGTACCTCAAGTGGTATGTTATGCAAAGTCTAAGTTGTCAGAAACGACAATATGATAATGCAAAGGTCAATGATGAAGAAATATACTTTTATGCGGACATGCTTGAAGAATGTGTAATACATACCGATTTAAAGTTCTCTTCCAACCCCTCCTGCAGTTGCCTTGCTAGTTTCTCCCTACTAGTTTGTTTTGTGTCCTCCTCTTCATCATTTGAACCATATAGCATTTTTGCTGCTTCCATCATTTCCGATTTGAATATATTCGAGAAAACAATATTTGTTTCACTGTGAATATACAAAAGACATAGTGATATCTGATTTTTTTCTTTGGACATACATTTTTTGTACATATTCAGACAATGTTCTTTTTAATTCGGGATTCATCACACCTTCAAATACCTTCTACATTTAAAACTTCTTTTTGATCAATTTTATCTTTCTAACAATTTTGCTGTTGTACCTCTTTGTGCAAGGCTTTTATCATTTATCAACTATCATGTATGATAAACAAAACGATTTAATTTGGAAATTATCAATTTCCCCCACCTCTGTAGCAATATACCAACTTCACCTGCATATGGGATATACATTTTCCAACTTATTCGGTATTCAAGAGCTTGCAGCTCCTACTCAGACTTTGTAAAAGGTCACCAGTGTCTGAGCAAAAAGTTGATGAACCGGGAACGTCTCGTCCTTTTTCTAAAAAAGTTCATCGGAAGGTACCAAGACCTTGTTGATAAATATTCCGTATCAACTTCACAAATAATACACGATGGTCTTGAAGTAAAGATTATGGGTACTGACGTTGTTTATTATCTTAATAACGTGTTATAGTATTCTTTTATTTGTCTTGATGAATACTACATTTACTGTTTAGTCTGTTATTGGTGATATCCATTTGACGTGGCTCTTTACTTATACATCCCGTCACTTATACATCCCGTCATTGTGTTATTGTGTTGGAGATAAACTTTTGTATTCTTGTCTTTCGTTTTTGCTAATATGCCTTTTTGTGCTTCTTTGATACATATTTGTTTGTTTTCATAGTGATAAAGAATATAACACAATGTTGACTGATGTACCCCTATTTATGACATTTTCACCTATTATGTCTGTTTGTTCTGTTCACACATCGTTGTCAATATAATGAAATTTTATGCAACTGTCATACAAGTGAGAGGTTTAGCTAGCTATAAAACCATGTTTAATCCACCATTTTCTACTTAAGAAAATGCCTGTACCAAGTCAGGAATATGACAGTTGTTATCCATTCGTTTGATGTGTTTGAGTTTTTGATTTTGCCATTTAATAAGTGACTTTCCGTTTTTAATTTTCCTCGGAGTTCAGTATTTTTGTGATTTTACTTTTTGTTGTATAACTTTGCCCCAGCAGACATATAGAAAAACAGTAAATACACGAGTGTTACACGAACACGTTTTGAAAGAGTCACTCCTGCATTCAGTGAGTTTATAAGCACACACGCCAAGCTTCTATTCAAAAGTCAATACGATTAATGAAACCCGATTAGAAACCATATTGATTACGTTTCGTTTGTATTTTATCCGAATTGGCTTTATGTTTACACAAATGTGAAAGAAAGTTTCGGAAGGACTATCGTATTTAATAAAAATAGGATAGGCACGAGAAAACAAATGACCTGATTTATAACAAAAAACAAATATAGCAGACAGCAAACACCGAAAACAACAGAACCACAAGCTCCTGACATAAATGATTTGGCTCAGTAAAACATTTCTCTAGCGCTCAACTCTCTCTTTATCTGGAATAATTGTTTAAAACCAGGGCATACGAACAAACTATAAGAATGAAACAGCTGAACTCATCAGATTTGCATGAAGCACAAAAAAATTACTGAAAAAATTACAAACGTTATATATTATCGCTCTAAGAGTACTCGCATTTATTGAACGCATTTCAAAGCCAATTTATAAATATAAATAAACTCTAACCTGTGTTTGTGCATACACCTTCTGTATCCCTTACATATGAAGTTTGCCGTTTTACCAGACCCATCTATTACCAAAACAGGAACATTCCTTTTTAAGTTAATCATAGCGGTCTCAAATGAGTTTTCCTCCCCGCCAACAACAATAATAATCAACGGGATCTCCAAGTGCTCTATTATCAAATATATATAAAATGTACAATTAAAAACAAAATTATTTATTATTTTAATTCGGTGAAATCTTTCTTCTAAAATATTTTTAACAATAACATTACATGTATAGTTTCTGAACAATAACATTACATGTATAGTTTCTTAGCCGACTATCAATCGGACATTAACAGTGCATCAGCTCAAAATGTTTTTCTCATTTCTTCTAATGTTTCACATTTGTGGTTTGTATCTATAGGTGAAGTAAGAGAAGTGCATATAACCTAATAATATAAGAAGATTTTTTTTTTCCCGTTTTTTTAAGAAGTACATTTGCCAGTCATAATTCTTAAAATGCTTAACATACAAATGAGGAAATGTTGTATGATTGCCAAACTGTATCCTGGTGGCCAGTTTTGATGACGGACGCCGGGGTGCTCGGAGAGATCCAACAACCTCCGGCAAAACAAATTACAATTCTAGTCAATGAAGATTGGAACAGAATGCACCTGCCTCGTGCGGGGTTCAAACGCACAATTTAATTGTTAAGAGAGAGGGAGTGGATTTTCATACAATAAATTGAACTACTAGTACATACGTAGAAAAATGAAAAGAACCAATATTTGAGATAAAAAAAATAACTATTTCTACAAAAAATTGAAAACGCAGTCAATATTTTATCTTACAAAAAACAGATTTTAGAATAATAGAAATATATGGTATGATTACCGATGAGTCAACTTTCAAGGATATACCAAATGACGTCGACGCTAAAAAAACATCGGTCACCATACGGCCTCCAACAATGAGCATTTTCATACCACGAAGCAAGATGTAAAATCTGAGACCCCAAAATAACAAATTTAAACAGTTCAAACGACAAAACTAACGGTTTAATTTATGAACAAAACAAAAAAAGTACTATGTACAGCAACAAACGACAACTACTTATGTAATGGCCCCAGACTTCGGACATGATGATCAGATGTAAATGTAGTGAGTTAAATGTGGGGGCACAAAACACTCACCTTCTCTGAAACAGAGTTGCATCACCACAACACAATAAAGACTATACAAAACAATAAAGGAAACAACAAATGATATAGAGCAACTAAAGACAACCACTGAATTGCAGGAACCTGATTTGGACATGCACATACAGAATGTGGCAGGTCTAATCATGTTTTGCGGGTGCACAACACTTCCCTTAGACAGTGGTTAAACAGAACGACATAAAAACAAACAATCAACCTCATTCGAAAAAGGGTTGACTGATTCGATCGACATAAAGCATGCAACAACAAACAAAAGGAGTTAAAACTCAAATTACTGGTCTAAGAGTACTCGTAGTTACTTACAGCTTGTTCAAGGCCAATAACACTAAATACAAAAACATTTTACCCAATACTAAGTAAATCGGCACATATCCAATGTAGTTAGTGTAAAGACGTTATAAAGAGTCAGATCTTCAGCAATGCCAAAGTAAAGTATTAAAAAAAATTAGTACTTTTAATTTTCAAAGCTATGTTCATGTAGCTGTAATACTTTTATTTAAGTAAGTTTTAATTAATTGATAACACAATCAATGTTTGTACTGATTAAAACAATATTCAAACTTCTTTAATACAGTGTATAATTGATATTCTTTTAGAATAAGTTTATAAAAAGGGTTTAAAGTTTAACATGGATCGTATAATAATTTACACACTTTATAAACAACATCCCAGTAAAAACTAGAATATGATATCGCGTTTATTTTAGGTACAGTCAAACTTGCAAAGTAAATCTGTGTATCTTTTGAAAGAATTCAGCAAATGTTTCAAGTAATTTCCTGGTAACGGAATCTCTGACTTAATAATTTACCAGTGCTACATACATGTAGATTACGTTCAATGAAATCGAGAACTAACTACAGACACGGGTAAAGCGAACCAGTTTGGATATATAAATATCGCACTCTGTGTTATCAAGAAAATATTCAATTAATTTATGCATAAGTATCGCAGAAAGTAACTAAATTCTGCATTAAACAATGTTAACAGCACATAAACTTTCATTCCTCCGAAGCACTTTTCTGGATATACTTTCATCAGTAACAATCAAAGCTGAATATTTGAAAGCCACGGATGTATAAGAACCGAATCAGTTGAAGAGCTATATGACCAAAAAGAACTGTAAAAAATAGTAATTAAAAAGCTTACTTGCTTTTTTTTTTATAATTCAATATGCTTTTTTCACTAATCGATCAATATTAGATGCCAGAATGGAAAAAGAAGATAATTCTAAAATATCAATACAAGTTTTCATTTGCATTTTAACATGCTTGAGTAAATCGTAAATTTCTACAGCTTTACTTCTCATATAATCAAAATGCATAAGTCTGCCGAACAACACATCTTTTTGTATTCAAATGTACTATAAACAGATACCATACAAATCTTCAAAACAAATGAAAATCATTATAATTTCATTTATGAACCAATATTCATCAATAAACCACTTCACTATCAGATAATAAGTATTACAAGTGAAAAGTTATAGCATTCATGCATTTCTTTTTCAAATGCAGGAATACAAAAATTATCAGAATATGTTTATGTTTTCATCGATTTTTTGTTTGATTTATTTACTCATCCTTAGAAATACATCTCCCTCAAGCAAAGTTCTGATTCCTTGCCTTGATTTTGGCTTTACTTTTGTTCTTTTTGGTTTTTGGATTTTCAAATATTTTAACCTGGAGCATCACTGAAGGGATATTTTTTGTCGAAATGATCATATGTTGCAAAAAAAAACCCTATTACCGGTATTTGTTATAACATCCTGATTCATTTGTTTTCTTAATTATTCATTCATGCAATAACTTCTACAAGGTAACCCAAAATATGTTTCCTTACCTTTGATGCAATTTTCAAGGTCACTTTCATTTGGTTGAAATGACGTGTTTCCCTGTTCATTCGCAGATTGAACCTAAAAGTATTGAACTAATGAATTCATGATTGGAGATATTAAAAATGTCTTAGCATCAGGTCTTAACTGCATGTGGAGTCTTTTGTGTTTCTCCTGTTTTTACTCCAAATTTAGTAGCCTATCTAAACAGTGAAATAGTTTAAGACGTATTAAACGGATGACTTACGGACAAATAGTAACAGGTAAGTAAAACGTTTGTTGTTTCCAATCCGTAATACGTCCGTAACAACTATTAAAACGGATTGAAATACGGATACTGTTTTACCCCCAATATGTTATTTTTATGGATTCTTAATATTCATATTTTGCTGTAGGTGCAATAAATTGTGTCTGCTTTTTGTTTTATAATTCAGCCCACTTAAAAAAGTGGATGTGTGGATCTCCCAAATAATACTTGTTTGAAAATCTATATAGGCACTCTTTATGTAGTTTTCCCCATCAAATACTCAAGTTAACATACATGCTACTGACAAACATAACAACTGTATTCAGTGTTTATCTGGTAATTGGGAAATTTACAACATACTTAAATGTATCAACGCATATATGTTTATATTCTCTACAAATTTTACTTTCTGCGTATTCCAAAATTGGTATTTTTACCAGTGGCAAATTATCAAAGTTTGAAGATTTGTGCATAAATACCGATTCTGATAAAGGATAACAATTTACAAACAAGATGAAAGGAAATCATATTGATAGATATTTAAGCCTAACATAAAGCCTTCATAAGTGTCAGTCCCTTTACAAAATGCGATAAATCAATGAGTTCCTTTCTTTCACATTTTCTCCTGTTTTCTTCTTTGGCATACAATTAGGGGTACAATTAATCATCGTAGCATTTTACTCTTGTAAAAACGTATTCTTTAACACATTTTTAAAGTTAATTAACTATTAAAGTTAACACCCTGAATGAAATTTGAAAAAAAAAACTTCTGAAATATAACGAAGTTATCCTAAATATTGTTCTTTTTAAAATATAACGTGCGATTGCATATTAAAATTCAACGAATGTTTCAATACTTTTACATTTTGATATGCGGTTTTATTTTTTTTGCCAATGAAGATGATAATCATGGCAAGAAAAAATGATTTAATTTATTGTCTCAAAATTGATTCTAATTATATAAACACTAGTAAAAAGAGTTTAGTCTTAAACAGTTATTTTGATCTTATCATCTAAAAAATCTGAAACATAAATAATGTTCAGTCTTTTAGTAAATTTTCAGACATCTCCACTGCAGTAAATTCAGTCCTTTTACGTAGGTTTTTAAACAATTTATAATTTTGTTGGTAGGTACATGTATATTACATTTATTGAATAGTCTAAAGATCGACTACACAAAACAGATCCTCATGACTGCAAATTAATCGTTTAGACTGTACTTGATTTACCTAAAAAAAAATACACGAGTCTTAAATTTACTGAACGACTTAGAAAGGCTTAATAATTTATTGTTCAGTCTTTTAAGATCTGTTCAGATGAAAAAAGTAACCATTTCAGTTCAAAACTGTTTCGCTCTGAAACTATGGCTACTTTAAATCGTCTCTTACCTTGGTCAAATCAAATTCTACATCCTTGAACAAAACACGGGATTTACTATTTTCTGAATATCCGTCAATCACTTCTTCAACAATCTCCCTAACACCTGTACATTTTTCTTCAGTTAGTATCCATATATCTTACAGGATACAAATAATAATGATGACAATAGTTTTAAAACTAATTATGAAAATAATTGTAATGAATTCAAACATTGTAAAGAACTTATAGTTGTTTAAATGATGTAGACCAGAATTGGTGAAAGGAAATTGGTTTAAGGTTTACAATGTCAAGTAATTTAATCTTGTTCGTAAACATATGATCATCCTAATATTACAAATTTGTTCAACATGGTCAAGCGAACGATTTGTTTATTTAACAAAATAAAAGCCTTGTAATTAAGAATTCCAACTAAATTTCTAACGCTATACTCATTTTCCTAAAAAATGTATGAACAGGATTTCTGTCATGTCGGCTAAAGCGTTTTGAAGATTTGGTGTTATTTATTGTCAAAGATTACCACATATATGTTAAAATTGACAAAACAATAACCTTGCGTCTTTTGGCCTTACAATGAAACAAAAAATTTTCTGAAACTGACATTATCAAGATGATTGATTTCTTGATTGACAACATATTTGTTACGTTTGGAGGACGTGTTTTTCAACAGACTGTCGGCATTCCAATGGGAACCAATTGTGCCCCTCTTCTTGCCGACTTGTTCCTTTATTATTATGAGGCTGACTGCATACAGGAACTTCTTAGGAAGAAAAATAAGAAGTTAGCAATATCCTTTAACTTTACTTTCTCTCACTAAATAATTCAAAATTTGGTGCCTATGTTGAACGCATCTATCCCATCGAACTAGAGATAAAGGATACAACAGATACAGTTAAGTCTGCCTCATATCTTGACTTACATCTAGAAATTGACAATGAGGGTCGATTGAAAACAAAACTTTACGACAAAAGAGATTATTTCATCTTCCCAATTGTGAACTTTCCATTTCTATGTAGCAACATTCCATCAGCGCATGCATACGGAGTATATATCTCCCAATAGATACGATATTCCCGGGCTTGTATTTCCTATCATGATTTCCTTGATAGAGGGTTGCTGCTCACAAGGAAGCTTTTAAACCAAGAGTTCCAAATGATGAAGTTGAAATCATCCCTTCGTAAATTCACGAGTTGGTTGACCGTTATGGAAAAACCGTTTCACAGATGATATCGAATATGTTTCTTATGTCGTAACTACAATCCCCTTCCCTTTTCACGAATGTGACCTACCGAATTAGACTTTTTACCGGGTTTATAATTACATGAGCAACACGACGGGTGCCAGATGTGGAGCAGGATCTGCTTACCCTTCCGGAGCACCTGAGATCAACCCCAGTTTTTGGTGGGGTTCGTGTTGCTTAGTGTTTAGTTTTCTATGTTGTGTCTTGTGTACTATTATTTGTCTGTTTGTCTTTTTCTTTTTTAGCCATGGCGTTGTCAGTTTATTTTCCATCTATGAGTTTGACTGTCCCTCTGGTATCTGTCGCTCCTCTTTTATAGCACATACATTGTACCTAGGGCATAAAAGTAAATAAAGTAAATAAATAATACAATGTGAACGCTTACTTGTTGTTTTTATCAGTTCCAGCAGACCAACTTTTAGCTGCATTCTAATCGTTTCATTCGGTAGATATGGTTTAGAATCTCCTATGATAGACAGTACTGCTACTGGTTTTTCTTCTTCCCAGTTTTTCAATTCCTGTTGTTTGTTAATTACCCTACGCAATTGAATACACTGAATAAACGAAAAAAAAATCAAACTGATTATTAATGAATTGAATTTATGAACACTACTATTGGTAAGAATAAGCTACCCTTTAACTTGACATTCTATTGATCGCTAGCAAAGTATGCTATGATTACTACATGTACTTAATTATAAAACGTTAGAAATCGACACTACATAATTTTACTATCGCTGTCACCAATGAGTTGACCCATCAGATGTGTCTATGTCGCATTATGAGATACTTTTTTCTTGATCGTAGTTCTTGAAATACAAAATAATTCTTCGCGGTTAAGTTCTATGAAAAAGTAATCACATTGGTACACACGCAATAGTCTGAGGATCGGACTCAAATAAGCTACCCATATATTTAACTGATTACTGAATTAAAAGTTGCGGTTGTAAACGTTACTCTAATTTGTTATCTAGATAAACTTATTTCATTCGTAAATACCTTTAATTTGTTCCTGGTTCTGTGATTTTTTTAGGAACCCATCCTATTTTTTTTAACTCATAAATGAAATTATGTTGCCAATCTGAAGCTTGTTTAAATAATGAATTTGTGTCCAGAAAAGGAGGTAAATGGTGATTGATTGTAAGGTCTTTCTGCATATGTCTTATTTTCTAGTGCATAACGCTTATTCTGTAAAATTCTCATGAAAAGGATTTTATTATCTTTTTTGTATGTAATAAGATATTTACTTTAACTTGTACATTTTTTTTTAGTAATCGGTATTGTATTACCTAATAGTACTGTTGTCCCAATTAGTATAATACTTTTGCACCACATTATTAACTATATTTTGTTTTGCTAATTATTCTCTATTTATTTCATTGTTTGGCCATTATTCTTTATTATGTAAACCCCATCTAGACCCTTATTAAAGATCTGTGTTTTTAAATCAAATCATGCATATGGTTGAGTTAAAAGAACATTCAAATCTGCTTAAGATATCACCTGTTCAAAACAAAAACCTGTGTTATAAGACCATTGATTTAAGAACCTCTATAGTATATTTCTTATTGATTGAATCTGTATTTACAGACCGCCTATCTTATGAGACCTTATTAGATCTGTGTTTGGTCTCTCTAAATTGGTCACTTATTTGTTTTATCTTTATATACATACGAGTGAGCATTTTGATTCATTCTGTAAACTGCATCTAGATTTTTTCTTACACTGTTTCCTAAAACAAAAGAATAAGTATCGTAATGCCTATCACATGCGCACTTACAGGTAGAAAAATGCATGAATGTGGTCTGTTAATGTTCCGCCGAAGTTGACCATATGAGGAGAGTTTACATTTAACAAACATCCATTAGTTTGTTACAAAATACAACGAACAGTACATGTTTTGTTAATTTTCATTAATTTTGGACTAATTTCAACCGCCCATGTTTACATCCAATCAACAGTGTGTTTATCATGTATATGGTCACTTTGGCTTTTTGTGTGTGTAAATTATAAAGGATTGCTGTTTAATATCAACAATAATTTTGTCGTCTACCTGGTCCTTTTTTTTTAATCTGCCAAAACGTTATCCAATCAAAGCTCAATGTTTTGGACACTCAATTATATCTCGAGTATATAATAGCATAAACCAAAACAATCATCTAAGGATTGGATACAAATGATAACTGTTGAAAAAAAAGTTGAGAAAATAAAAAATGTGTTGATCTTATTTTGTTGATTTACGTTGATCGGCACTGTGATTACATGTTGCTTTTTCTCAATAAGATTGAAAAGAATTAGACACCATCGTATCATGATTATGTACACAAACAGCTGTATAGATTATGTACTCTCATTAAGTAATTTGTAGATTATCTTATTTGCAAGGATCCTGTTGAACGTATTGTATTATTGGATATCTCACAACTAAGTATGTGGATATCTTGACCTGTACGTTGAATTAGATTGATGGGCTGATTTGTGTTTAAAGTCAAGTAGCAAATTTTGCTAGCCTATCAGGACGAAAATATGTCGATGTTCCGCATGAAACATCGTTTCGTTTTCGGACTTTTAACTATGACTCTAAGCTATCCAGTATATGCTTCACTTTTACTTTAATGTGATAAGCGGATTAGCAGCAAATTTAATGTTTCAAGTCATTGGTTTGACCGGGCCGGGGATCAAACCAGCAATCTCCATTATTCTTCCTAAATACACACTACAACGGGACCATCAAGGTGGTTTTTAAAGAAAATTACTGCGAGATCAGTGGAAAGAAAGTTTCTCAACAAAAGAGAAAAATTAATTGTTTCCGAATAAAGATTTCTTTTTACTTTTGGATTGTAAGGGTTTCATGTTTTGATACGATATCTCTTTAATTGCGTTTCTATTAAGGCATAGAAGGCTGCTTACAAAAAAATGAATTGACCCAAAACCTTTATGCTAAATATGCATGCATCATGCCTTATAAAGTTTTATCGACATCAACATAATTTAGTTGACCTTTATTCAATATCTGTGTCACACGGATATGTTCCAAGTTGGCGTTGTTACAAACCCGCCTTTATTGTATCGTTTATTACTTTCTGCATTAGGGAGCTACCATTTGATTTTTATGGGGGGGGGGGGGGGGGGGGGGGGGGGGGGGGGGGGGGGGGGGGCTAGGATGAAATTTGAAAAAAAATAGGCAGGACAGGAGTTTTGAGTAAAAAAAAGGCAGGATGAGATTATTTGCCAAAAAAAAGGCAGGATGACAATTTATGTAAAAAAAAAAAGTCAGGATAAACTAAAAAAAAAAGGCAGGACCGAATAGAGTGAAAAATAAAAAGGCAGGACCGAATAGAGGGAAAAATATATAGGCAGGACAAAATTTTTCATCCTAGCCCCCCCCCCCCCCCATAAAAATCAAATGGTAGCTCCCTTATCAAACTTCGTACCAGTCGGATTTGAATTTAACAAGAGAAGCACGACAGGTGCCATTAATTGAAATGTAAATCTACCCTTACAGAGATCATTTGTTCATTACATGTTTTGTGGGTGTAAATAGATATAAGAAGATGTGGTATGAGTGCCAATGAGACAACTCTTTCATCCAAGTCACAATTTGTAAAAGTAAACAAATCTACTTTATATCTATTTTTTTCGGTTGTTCTTTGTAAATTGTTACTTGTCTTATGACCTTTTTCTCAGCTATCGTGATTTCTTCATTTCGTTAATAGATTACGCATTTAAGCAAGTTGTCATATAAGGAGACGAATATAGGGAAAAAAATAAATATGTGACTGCATAATAAGCTGACCTGTATGGAATACCACCTTTAAACCAAAATACATCAGAGATATAAGAAGATGTGGTATGAGTGCCAATGAGACAACTCTCCATCCAAGTCACAGTTTGCAAATGTAAACCATTATAGTTCAAAGTACGGCCTTCAACACAGAGCCTTGGCTCACACCAAACAGCAAGCTATAAAGGGCCCCAAAATGACTAGTGTAAACCATTCAAACAGGAAGACCAACCTTTATAGCTTGCTGTGCGTTGAGAGCCAAGGCTCCGTGTTGAAGGCCATACTTTGACTTATAATGGTTTACTTTTAAACATTGTGACTTGGATGGAGAGTTGTCTCATCGACTATCATACCACATCTTCTTATATATATCATATAAAAAATGCTAAGTATAGCATGCATAAAATAGGAAAACATTACTTTATAAATTTCATGCTTCCGACACGTTTTCTGGGTTTACTTTCAGCAGGAACCCCCAAGGCTGAATATGTGAAAGCCAAGGATTTATAAGAACCAAAACAGTTGAAGAGCTAAATGACTAAAATGACAAAAGAATAATAGCCATATCAAATTAAGATCAACGTTGGCAAAAGGGGGGATAAACCCTATATGACGAACACATTTATATTTTACAGAAGACAGGAACGTGCAAAGGAGTTTTAAGAGATTATAACCCTTTCCATTTTCGATCGGTAGAATATCAAATGGTGGACTAAACAAGGAATAGTAAAGTAATTACATGTAAAGCATTAATGAATGGCTTCGAAAAGATTGTGTATCAAAGGAAAAGGCAGTAGTTAAAACAAAGCTATGACCTCATATGAAAATAGCCATAATTCTTCTTTCAAAATGTGCGCGAAATTGGTCCTATTGTTTGTATGTTGCTAAACGACTATTATTTGTACATAGAAAAAAATTTCATAGGCCCTTATCGCTGTTGTTCTTTTGAAATCGATAATAACATTATAACTGAACTCACGCGTACAGGTTGATTTTAATACTCACTGAAATATAAAACAATCATACAGGTATCATTTTGAATAGATAAGAAATACATACTTGTTACATTAAACGTTTAAATAAAACACATATGGTAATTGATATATATACGTTGCTGTTTACTTTTGAGCAGAAGTTGCAAATGCTTGTGTCATACTGCGTCAAATATGTTTTTCATACATGCATAAATCTGCTATGTGATTATATCACTGACAACTTCATTATTGATTTAGTCTTCAAGATGTTTTTTTATTCGATCGCTGATTGGACATAAGTATACGAAACTTGAATCGACCAAACTAAGTTTTAAGATCTGTATAAAATTTTACACCACTGGGTCGATTCCACTGTTTTTTGACGTTTTATTCAAGAAATTATTTGCAACCCAATAATTACCACTCATGTATTGGCACTCTTATCTCTGTTACGGTAATTTTCTGTAAAAGGCTGAATTATTCGAAAGTTTGTCAATCCCAAGGCATGGTTTGCCTTAGCTAGATTTGAAACAACTTTTTCGTAATTTTTTGTCATAAATGCTCTAATCGGTTGTAATTAATATTGATCTTGTCAACTGTTGTGATTGGAGCGTCACTGGTGTATACATGTGCAAACTAATTTATAAATCTGCTGGCTTTGAGTATATTTTTTTCAATTTAATCTTAAGCAACATAGTGTTCTCGAACTTTTCCAATTCTTTCAAAAAAAAAAAAAATCATACAATTTCAAATTCTTTCCAAAAGTCTTTTGCCTTCATCTTACTTAAATCAATTTTAGGAAACACTTGGAACAAATTGTTCCCGTCTTATTGCGTATTTTTTGCTTGGCGTTTATGAATCTATATGTATTGCAAACCTTAACCTTAAAGACTTAACAAAACACCATCCCTTCGAAATAGACTATTTTCATATTACCGACTTTTGACTCCGGATTATATAATTTGTCGACTGGTTACCTTGGACATCATGGTACCAAGTCAGGTAAGAGCAAGCTAAAGAAGTAAAACCAAGCTTTCAATCGGTACAATTTTGGGGGGAAATTCCCTGGTTAATATTTTTTTTTCACTACAAAATCATCGGAAAACAGTAAACTTTCCCCTCAAATTACACCGATTATATGTTTGATTTAATTATTTAGGTTGCTCCTATTTGACCGAGTACCATGATGTCCAAGGTAACCAGTCGACAAATTATATAATCCGGAGTCAAAAGTCGGTAATATGAAAATAGTCTATTGTTACGGACGCCATCACGAGTAGGTTGACCGTTGCGGAATATATGTTTCATAGATGACGACAAATATGTTCAAACTGTTATAGCCACAATCTCGTCCTGTTTCTCTCGAAAATGACCTACCGAAAAAAGATTTATCACCAGGTTTGTAATACTATGAGCAACACGATGGTTGCCACATATTTGGAGTAGGATCTGCTTACCCTTCTGAAGCACCTGAAATCAACTCCTATTTTTTGTTTGGTTTGTGTTGCTCAATCTTTAGTTTTTTTTGTGTTGAGCTTTGTGTACTGTTGGTTGTCTTTTCGTAATTTTGTCATGGCTTTGTCAGTTCGTTTTCGTCTTATGAGTTTGAATGTCCCTCTGATATCTGTCGCCTCTCTTTAAATTAGATTGGATACAGACAAAATTAAAAAGCGAGACCATAAATACCTTGGTAGCAATAAAAAAAAACCCGAAAGCTCTATAATATCTTTTACCGACCCTTGAATGTTGGTACATATAAACTGTAAGTTTGAATAATCTTATTTGTTTAGTCCTCAGATGACTCTTATTGTCAATAACTAGACTTGTATCAAGATGTGAGGCAGACTTGACTGCTTCTTTGGTTTCATTTATTTTAGGTTCGACGGGGTCAATGTGTTCAACTTAACAATATTTGATCAAATTTGAAAAAGGAGCTAAGATAAGTATGTAAATGGCATATATTCTACG